AGGAGAGGATGAGTGAGTAAGAGGCAAAAAGTTTGGACTAGAAATTTAGCTATGAAGGGAGGAGGGAAACAGGAAATGGTAGGGTTTAATAAGAATGTGGTTTTTGTTTTTTTAAGGATAGAGAATGTTTGTTGGCAACAGAGTTTGAATGTGTGTGTGTGTGTGTGTGTGTGTGTGTGTGTGTGTGTGAGAGAGAGAGAGAGAGAGAGAGAGAGAGAGAGAGTAGATGACTTGGTTTTGGCAAATCAGAGACTGAGAGTAAAGAAGAAATAAAATAGGGAATGAGATCAAGGGATTTTTGAAATATAGAATGGGATAGAAAAAATAAATTCCATTCAAAATAACTACAAAAGCTATAAAATACTTGGAAGTGTATACCCTAAGATTCACCTAGGGAGTATATATAAATCCAACTATAAAAAAAACTTTGCAGAAATAAAGACAAAACCAAATAATTGGAGAAACATTAATTGTTCATGGTTAGGTTGAACCAATATAATAAAAATAACTGTGATCTCTAAACTTATGTTTAACATACTGTACCCTTCAAACTCCCAAATAATATAGTGTTAGAAAAAAATGAAATTCACAAAGAGGAACAAAAGGTTAAGAATTTCAAGGGTATAAAAAAAGTGGAAAGGAAGTTTTTCAGTAACAGATGTTAAAGTACTTCAAAGAAGTAATCAATAAAATGAGTTGATTCTAATTTTAAAAAAAGGGTCAATCAGTGGAATAGATTATGTTTACAACATACACAAAACAAGCATGGTATTCAGCAAACTCAAAAAACCCAGTTGCTCGATTAAGGGCTCGCTATTTGACATAAACTGCTGGGAAAATTAGATATTAGTCTGGAAGAACTTAGTTTAGGCCAACATTTTGTACTGCACAGCAAGATAAGTTCCCAATGGATACATGATCTATATATACACGAAGTGACATCGTAAACAAATTAGGTACCAAGGCAGAAATTACTTTTCAGTCTATGAAGAGAGGAAGAGTTTATGACTCATTAAGTAATAGAGATGATCATAAAAGATAAAATTGACAATTTTGATTTAATAAAATTAAAATTTTTTTGCATAAACTTCATGTACTAAAAATGAGAATGGAAAGAAGTAACATGAAAAAATCTTTGAACACATTTCTTTGATGAAAGTCTCATATCCAAGATGTGTAAAGAACTGATTTAAATTTGTAAGCCTAAAAGCCATTCTCCAGGGGAGAAATGGTCAAAAGTATTAACAGGTGGTTTCCAAAGGAAGAAATTCGAGCTTTCAACATGCATATGAAAAAATGCTCAACGTCACTAATAATTAGAGAAATTTGAATTAAAGTAACTTTGAGATTCTACCTCCTATGAGACTGCAAAGATGACAAAAGAAAAATATGACTAATGTTGTATGGGTTGTATGAACACAGGTACTGAATACTATGTTGGATGAACTGTGAATTGATCCAGCCATTTTGGAAAGACAACTGTGTCCAGAAAATTACATTAAGGAATGGCTCAACAAAATGTAATGGAATACTTTATGCCATAAAACAAGATGAAATGGACAATTTCAGAGGCAACTGGGAAGACTTATATGAACTAAGTGATACAGAGTGGAGAGAGCACAACTAGGAGAACAATTTATACAATGTTATAGAGAAAAACAACTTTGAACGACTTTAGAACTCTAATCAATGCAGTTCAAAAGTTCAAAAGAATTAAGATGAAAGACACTACTCATTTATTGACTGAGAAATCATGAACTTAAGATGCAGAGAGAAACATGCATTTTCAGATGCGACCAATGAAGTTTGTTTTGTGAGACTTATGCAGCAATCTATTAGAAGCTTTCATTCATTCATTCATTCATCTATTAAAATTGCTCGAAGGGGAGGGTAAGAGAAATTATTATTTTTTAAAAAGAATATTCCTATGTTATACCACATTTATTTCAATACAGTTTATTGCTGTGCAGTAGTATTGCTCTTAATTAAAACTCAGGCACTGGATCACATTGTCAAAGAGGAATGGTGAAAAAATCTATTCTATTGTGCTACAAAAAGATAAGTATTTCAGTGCATTGTTTAAATCAACTATTGATATTGCTGTTATCAGTAGTGAATGGAAAATATTGAATATTTTAAAAAGTATTAAAATAATGTGCCAGTTGCACATTGTTTAAAGTGGATACCATTTATATTTTTACAATCATTGTATTGCTAAGACATAGGCTGTATAAAAAAACAATTAAAAAGGGATGTAAAGTAGGGGAGAAGAGGAAGTTCCTAGTAATTGGCCCTTATTGGTAAACTTGAAGGCTTTTACTGGAAAGGAAGGTGGCAGAGGTGGGATGTGAGACTTGAGAATATCTTATAGGGAATACAACAGAGAATCAATTAGGGAGGAATAAACGGAGTGCCTTGCTATAGTGAGGACTCAGTTTGTAGTAAATCCTGTCAGGGGGACCACATAACTTCTTTTAGTATCATTCAGCAGCACGTGAGTAGGAGCAGAGGAGAAGCATGATGGGAATAATCTATAGATGGGGCAGCTTCAGTTTAAGTATTAGAATTCAATTCAGTTTCATTTAGCAAACATATCTTGAAAGCCTGTCATGTACCAGGCATCATGCTAGATATTGAACTTTAAAATGTTATCTGCTGAATATGTTTATGTGGTAGAAGCAGTCTTGGATCAGAGGATAAGTTCAAGAGCATCTAATGAATCAGATGCTAAATTTTCATTCAGTTTAATTTGTAAATAAATGCTGTACATTAACATTTATTGTCACATAAGGAATTTTTATTTAAAACTTTGAGCTTATTTTTTTGTTTGTTTGTTTGTATCAGCCTAGAGAAATATCCCAAATCTGCATTTCATTGGATGAGTTTAAAGTTTGGAATGCCATCTGAGTGCTGATACTGAAATATTTACCAAAGATAACATTTAAAGAATTAAGTACATGTTGCCACACTGAAAAGCAGCCTATTAGTTCCTGAATTAATTTACTCTGGGACTTTGAATTCTTCACACAAAATCTGTTTCCAAGCCTAATTATCCATACTATAGGAAATATAGCATCTTCTTCATTCATTTTATTGTCAACAGGAGTAGCTATTAGTAATTCTTCAAATTATATTAATTGTTCACTTAAAATAATGCAACCCCTTGCTGAGCTTGCTTTAATTAAATCACTTTATTTGCTAATGACTTACCAAGTTGACAGTGACCTTGAAGCTGATATTGACAACATTTCTTGACATAAAGAAATTGGTGATTTAGAGTTATTAAGAATGCATCAATTTATTTTTCATTTTACGTTAGGATTTTTAAAAGGCCTTAATGTCATTATAGATAAGATATTTTACTTTTGAAAAATATGGGCTAATGAGTTAAGCAGGAGTAAATTTATTTTGTTTTCAATTCATTATGTTTTAAGATTGTTTAAAAAGAGGAATTGTTTTGTGCACATGTATTGGGCTTGAAAATTATTAAGATTATTAAAATCTTGATCTCACCATCAAGAGAGCAGACATATAATTTGGCTTCCTTCTATCTTTCTTTGTAGCATGTGGAGGCTTCTGGCACATTGGTTCCTTGAAAGTTTCCTATGGCTAAAAACAATCTTTTGTAGCAAGTTACTTTGATAAAGACTTTATTTCAAAGATATGTAAGGAACTGATTCAAATGTATAAGAAGAGCCATTCTCCAACTGATAAGTGGTCAAGTGATATAAATTTCTTCTAGGGAAGAAATCAAAGATGTCTTTAGTCAAAAAAAATCTTCCAAATTACTAATAATTAGAGAAAAGTAAAATGTAAAAGCTACTCTGAAGTTCTACCTCACACTTTATCACACTGCCAAAGATGTCAAAAGAGGAAAATGTCAAATGTCGTGAAGGGTTTTGGGAAAGAGGTACTCTACTTTTGATGGAGCTGTGAATTGGTTCAGTCATTCTGAAAAGCAATTTGAAATTATACCCCCCAAATTACTACATTATGCATTTCCTTTGACTCCAAAATACTAAGCTGATGCCCCAAAGAGATTAAAGAAATGGGAGAAGGTCCTATGTGTATGGAATATTCATAACAACCCTTTTTGTGGGGGCAAAAATACTGGAAACCAAGGAGGTACCCATCAATTAGAGAAATGTAAATAACTAATAGTATATGAATGTATTGGGATACCTTCATGCTGTTAAGAGATCATTAAAGAGATGGTTTCAGAGAATCCTGGAAAGACTCATATGAATTGATACAGAATGAAGTGACTATAAGGAGAAAAATTTATACGATGACAGCATTGCAAAACCAAACAATTTTGAAAGACTCTGAAAGAACAATGATCAATCATGATTCCAGAGGCCTGATCATAAAGAATACTGGCCACCTCCTGACAGATATGTTAGAAAAATATGCAGAATAAGACATATATTTTTGGATCTGGCCAACATAGGAATTTATTTTGCTTGACTGTGAATGTTTATTATAAAGGCATTATTTTTTCTCCTTTTGGTGGGGGAAGGGAGGTAGGAGAGAGAAAAAATAAATGCTTGATACTTGAAAAAAATGGAATGAAAAATATTTCTTGAATTAAGTTAAGCAAACAAAAAGGAAAGTTAGCAGTTTCAAAATAGCTCGGTGATTAGTATTCAACTCAAAAGCAGAGCTCATAAGCCATTACCAGTGTTTACTTTTACTAAACTAACCAGATCACACATTAGTTCAAAGCAAAAGGTGCTTAATCAAACAGCATAGAAAATTAAGCATATTAAAATTAAGAAAGATCTCCTGAATAAATATGCAGTTAGTTAGAAAACAAATATTTGTTAAGTACTGACTGTGTGCTAGGTATTAGGAAAATAAACCTCTAATTGAAATGTAAAATAATTTTGAATTTTAAAGAATTGATACTTACTCATATTTAATATTTAATTTTCTGCTGACTGAGGTGAAAGAAAGGCTTTACCTATGTATGATTGAACAGTCTTTATTTTATGTTTTAGGATGCTTCTGATTCAACTTTGAAATACAAAGGAGTACATTTTGGCAACCAGTCAGGAAGACAAGATTTACCAGTACTAGAAGGGCCTGGGCCTGGGGACTATGATATACTTCAGTAAGTAAACTAGAGCAATAACTTCAGCTTAGCTTTTTATTATAGAATGCCAGTAATCTAGCTCCTTGGTTGTTCAGTTATGAAACAAATCATGGAAGTCAAATTATTCATGACGGGTAAATAGAGCCCTTTTAAGAATAAAATGAGAGAACTTAAAAGATCTATTTTTGATCATTAGAAGAGCATTAGAAATGGGAATTAAAAAAATGTAAAATTACATTTGGTTGTGTAATGCAGAGATTGAATGGTGTTAAATTTGATACTCTGGGAAATAACACATTAAAGGAATTATTAAAAGAGTACTTGGACTTTGGGATTGCTGAAAAATTGCATAGAATCTTCACTTTCCCTCCAGTCATTCATTTACATTCCATGTTAGAAGTGGATAACATCATGTTTTAGAGGAATTCAATTTATTAGCTACTCTCCTTTTGTCAGACAGACTTGTCCTAGGTTGTACAGTTGGTTGTAGCAGAGCAAGCCTTAGTTAAAACAAAGGTCACAATCAAGAATAAATTAAGAATAAAGGTAAAGATAAGAGGTTTATACTATGTGTATTATAACAGTTCTAACCTGGCCTATTAAAAAAAGCTGTTGACTTGGGGACATGTGAAATGGGTAAAATTAAAAGCATTGACTCTGGTGATTGTATTTCTTAGAAGAATTTTACTGATATAAAGTAGTTTCAAAAACAAGAGGAACAGAAGAGCCCGGTAACCATCTCAGTAAGCAGATACTTGAATGCATTTTCTTGGGGAGAGTGGAAGAGCAAGGGAATATGAATTTATTCAGTGCCTACATGTGCCAGACACTGTGTTAAGTGCTTTACACATATCTCATTTGAGCCTCACTACAACTCTGGGAGGTAGGTGCTATTGTAACCCCCATTTTACAATTTAGGAAAATGAGGCAAACAGGGGTTAAGTGACTTGCCCAGGGTCACACAGCCACTAAGTGTCTGAGGCTGGAATTGAATTTAAGGCTTTCTGACTCCAGACTCAGTGCTCTGTCCACTTTGCTGCCTAGCTGAAGACATGGAAGCTAAGAGCAGGAGGGCTTTAGGATATGTTAGTCTGTGAAGCAAAGAAGGATGAAAGATTGTAAGTAGGCAAGCAGCTCTGAAGCCTGAAGACCTCTGTTCCTGGCCTGCCTCTGATTCTGACTGACCCTGGGCAAGTCATTTAGTCACTTAGTGCTTTAGGGGGTTTTCTAAGACTATAACTTTTAATTCTTAGCTATCACAAAAAGTGCTGCTATAAATATTTTGGAGTATATGGGGATTTTTTTTCCTTATAGATGGCTTCCTTGAGGTATAAATCTAGCAATGGAGTCTCTGGTTCAAAGAGTATGGACATTTTAGTCACTGTATTTGCAGAGTTCCAAATTGTTTTCCAAAATGGTTTTTTCATTCCACAGCTTCACTAATAATGTTATCATTTTTGCCAACTTATAGAGTATGAAGTGAAACCTGAGAGTTGTTTTAATTCGCATTTCTCTTATTATTAGTGATTTGGAGCATTTTTTCCCATGGTTGTGAATACTTTGCAGTTTTTTTGAGAACTGTTTATTAATATTCCTTAATCATTTATTTATGGAGAATAATTATTTGTCTTCTGTATATTTATTGTTTATATATTTTAAATACCAAGTCCTTATCAGAAAAATTTGGTACACAGATTTTTGTGTCACCTTTACTAAGCTGTTGACTTGTTTTTCACGATTTTCTTGCATCACTCTCATTTCTCTTTCCAATTTTTCGTCTACCTCTCTTACTTCATTTTCAAAATCCTTTTTGAGCTCTTCCATGGCCTGGGACCAATTCATATTTTTCTTGGAGGCTTTGGATGTAAGAGCTTGGACTTTGTTGTCTTCTTCTGAGTGTGTGTTTTGATCTTCCTTTTCACCAAAGAAAGTTTCTATAGTCAGAGGTTTTTTTTTTTCCATTTGCTCATTTTCCCAGCCTATTACTTTACTTTTTAATTCTTTGTTAAGGTAGAGCTCTGCTTCCAGTGTGGAGGGCAAATTATCCCAAGCTTCAAGTGCAGCTGTTTTCAGAGATACTTCTGGGGACCTGTAAGTTTTCAGTTCTTCCAAGGTGGTATGATCTAAGGACAGGTGTTTACTGCTCTCCTGGCCTGTGTTGTGGTCTGTGAGCGACCACAAACACTCTTTTCTGCCCTGGAACTGTGAAGAAGGTCTCCCCTCCACTGCTGCTGCAGCTCTGCTATGTTAGTGCTCCTCCTCGCCCTGGGACTGCTACCCAGGACTGTGAGGGAGATCTGAGTATGGCAAAGCAACAGAGTCCTGCCTCAGAGCTGGCAGAAAGACCCCAGTAATCTTCTAACCAGTTGTTTGACCCCCTTACTGGCTGAGAGCTCCAGAAGCAGCAGATGCTGCTTCCGCTGCTGATTCAGTCACTTACTAGGCCTGCTTCTGGTTTATTGGGGCTGGGCCTGCACTCGACTGGGGCTCCACTCACACCCAGGTACAACAGACTTTCCTGATGACTTTCTAAGTTGTCTTTGGTGTCTGTGGGCTGAGAGGTATGGAAACTGCCACTGCTGCCAGTGATTCAGTTGCCTTGAGGCCTACTCCAGGTTTGCTGGGGTGTGGGCTGTGCTGGTGTGGCCTGTGTTGGACTGCGCTCCTCTTTCACCTTGGTCCAACAGACCTTTCCTGCTGACCTTCCAAGTTGTCTTAGTCTTCTTGTAGGTTCTGCTGCTCTAGAATTTGTTTAGTGTAATTTTTTTTTTTCGTGAAGCAATCACGATTAAGTGACTTGCCCAGGGTCACACAGCTACTGTGTCAAGTATCTGAGGTCGGATTTGAACTCAGGTCTTCCTGACTCCAAGGCCTGAGCTCTATCCACTACGCCACCTAGCTGCCCCTTAGTGTCATTTTTTAAAAGTATTTGGAGGGGTTTGGGGGAGAGCTCAGGCGAGTTCCTGCCTTTCCTCCGCTATCTTGACTCCATCACAAAACAACTTTTCCTACTGTTATATTGATAAAGTAAGCTAGCCTGATGGATAGTTTAGTTCTGTGTATGTAGGTCCTTGAAATATTAAAGAAGAAAAAGCCTTAGAGAAAGGCCTTTGGATGCTCTCAGAAAAACCTTGAAAGACTTACATGAACTGATACAAAGTGAAATGAGCAGAACCAGGAGAACATTGTATGTAATAACAACATTATTGTATGATGATCAATTGTGAATGGCTTGGCTATTCTCAGTAATACAGTGATCCAAGACAAATATGAAGGACTTACGATAAAAAAATGCAATCTCCGGAGAAAGAACTGATGAAGTCTGAGTGCAAATCAAAGCATAGCTTTTTTAAACTGTATTTTTCTTGTTGTTTTTTTTTTTGAGGGTGGAGTGTCTGTATTTTCTTTTACAAGTATTATGAAAATATGTTTTGCATGACTGCCCATGTATAACCTATATCAAATTGTCTGCCTTCTTAATGAGAGAGGAAGTGAGGGAGGGAGAGGATTTGGAACTCAAAAATTTTAATGAATTTAATTTGGGGAAATGAATTTAATTGGGGAAAATAAAATATTAAATTAAAAAAGAGAAAGGCCTTTGTCATGTTGGGTAGAATCTTTATGGGAGATTTATGGAAGGACATGAAAAGAAAGAGTGGATTGATCATGATATGCACTGGTGGAAGTAGTGTCCTCAACAATGAAATCATATATATATTGAAGTCTTATGGTAAGCTTGAATTTCAATTTGACCAAACAATTTTCTAACTTTCTCCAACAATGTTCTACAGGCTGGGAGTGAGAGGGCAGGAACTGAATCACATTGTGTTGTGGTGAAAGGTTTACTTTGGAAACTCAGGTTTGGGTCATGGATTTAACATTATGTTTGTGATCGTTGGCAGCTCACTTCACTTTCTTAAGCCTCCATCTCCTCTTCTGAAAAACTAAACTAATTGTGTGCACCATTTGCCTCGGAGATGTTGTGGTTAAACTTGATTAACTTTAAAGAACTATATTCATAGGGGTTATTATTAATTTAGGGCATAAGAGAGGCCAATGTTGAAATGGTTAACTTTCACTTACAGGGCAGAGACATGTAAAGTCAGAAGGTAAATGAGGTATACATGATTTCGTTGTTGAGAACATAAAGAATCAAGGACCAGCCATCACAATGAGAGAGAAGACTAGTTTCAGTAGGGATGGAGGGGCAGTTTAGGTGTTAGTGTAGCTTACTTCTCCCATAGTCATTCCAAGGGATGTGCTTAACAACAAGCTCTCAGAGAAAAAAGACAAAAAACCCTCTACTGATGACACACTTTTAAATTTAACCTGCATTATCAACATTTTTTCCATAATTTCTTAAGTTTAAACAAACAACAAAACTAAATTAAGCCCTGATTGTAGTGTTTGTCAATTTTCATGGTGTAAATGCTCGTACTGAAAATTTAACAATCAGCTCTCCTAAGGCTGTTAGTCCTGGTTCCCACACATCCCTGACATTATCTCTCTTATCCAAAGATCATTGTGGTTGGCCATTAGGTGATGACCTTTTTTTTTTTTTTTTTTTTGGCCACAGAAATTCACAAAAAACTTGTCTACTACAGTGTGATTTGCACTGGATAAAAGAAATCATGGATGCTTTAAGTGCTGAATTAAGTATCTATGAACTAATTCGGTCATTATTATTATTTAACAATTGTATTTGAGAAAGGTGCCAGGTATCATAAATTAGGATTAATTATCTTGGCCAAGTGGATATACCAGTTAAATGAAAAACAGAACAAAACAAGAGAATGGGAAAGATGAGAAATTTTCTCTTCAAGAAAATTCGAAATATTAAAGGAAAGGTTCATGCAAAAATGGCATGAAAAAAGACAGAAATGTAGGGATCTTAACAGAAATAGAAGAGATTAAGAAGGGTCATTTTGGACTTCAGTGCCTAGCTTTGGAGTTTTAAATCTGGGGTGTTATAAAGTCTTAATACAGTTTTAACTACATACAGAAATGTAAAATAAATAAGCTCTAGTTCTCATAAGCTTTTAATTTCATACAGGATGTAAAATTTCTTCTAGTGGCCCAATGATTCCATTTCTTTTCTTTTTAGAGTGATCATTAGAATACTTTAAGAACCTGCACATTGCTGTCTTCCTGTTTTAATTATCTTTTTGAGTTATGATGTCTAGAAGAAAAAAAAATCTGGGGCCAATCTTCTAATGTTGAGATAATTAGAAAAAAATTCTAACAATGTATGTAGAGTTCTGAATTGAGGAAATTCCCCCAACAAATTAGAATTGTAACAAGGGACAAAATGAGTTCTCCAAATTTATAATGTAACAGTCTACCATTTCTTGATTCTCTTACTATTACATAGTTGTTGGCAACACATATTGGCATTATATTTAGAAGATACTCCAGTTATTTAGATGTTCATATGTTGAAAATTAAAAACTCATTGATCTTTCTTTAAACTCTCAAGGGAAAGTACACTGCATTATGAGAATGTTAATATCAAGAAAGAAGATAAACTAAAGAGTTGTCCTTTTCTCCCACGTTATCATGAGGTAATAGTACTGCAGGAAGAAAAAAAGGTAAGCTGAAAACATGAGCCATATGCTAGTATTTTAAAATAATTCATCATAGGGTTAAAACACAGGTGTTTAGAGATTGTAGGCACAAAATAGAGAAAACTGGTTCTATTTAAAATTAAGACAGGGAAAAAAACTTTTGTGAATTAAAAAACAAAACCTAACTACATATACATTGAGAATTTTCTCTTATATTGAAATTGCTTCTTTTGCCTTCCCACAGATTAGGTTACAGCAGATCATTTCATTAAAAAAAAAAGATGAGCTTTTAGTTCTTGTTTAGAGAAATATTAGGATAATATTATTCAAATGCTACTTATAAAATAGTATGGCCAGCCGCAAAAGAGATAAACAGTTACTATTTTCTCAGTACCAGTGTAATTTACTGAATAGGCTTATGTTAAAAAATACATTCAGAAAAAAATCCCAACCCAAAATGAAAAACTTTAATTATACACTAATAGAATTTATTTTATATTTGATCTCCTTTTTAAATTCAACTGAGTAGAAAACATTGAAGTAAAAGTTCCTCCTTTTAGCTTTTGTTAGATAATTTTTTCTCTTTAGAAATTTTAATGTAAAATTAGAAAAAATAACTATCTGGGTGGAAGTAGTAATAGTGGGAAGGACAGAGGAAAAGGCAGGACTGGAGGAACTGTGGCTGGTCCTTTTAAGGTAATTATTATTCTGTCTATACTATTATATAGTCTACATTACTCTTAGAATGATTATGGTAGGTAATGATTGTATGCTTTATAATTGCTGATTGGCTTCAAATTTGAAGACCAGTGAATTACAAGGAAGAGAATTGCAATTGATAATTAATTAGGTACAATTTCATACAATAGGTACAGTTCTATATATTAATGTTAGTACATTTTATTTCATATTCATTTAAGAACTGAAAGGCAAAAATTAAAATTCCTTGTTGATTATTTTTGTATTATAACCATCATCTCATAGTTTGAAAATTTAAAGCTGAAATGTGTATTTTTTATGGTGTATGGAAAATCATTAATTTATATCATATACTTAACCCTTATTAGTTCTCCATCAGGAGCCTCATCCATGACATTCTCTCTGGATCTGATGCCTCATTTGGCTGAGTGCCCCTGAAGGCCTTTTCTTTTTCACTGTCCTTTAGAAGCAAATATGGTAAACTACCCCACACAATGCAGTCCGTCAATATGATCCTAATCAACTAGTTACTTTCTACATGTGGAAAACCTGGAAAAAAGAATCAGGACATAAGTGGTTAAATATTTTGACACGTGTGGGGTTGGGGTAAGGTAGGGGAAAACTTCTGTAGACCCTGGGTTGCCTGCTTGGGAGTTCTTTTTGTGCAAGAAGTACAAGCTGGAGATCAAAGAGGAGTTTGCTCCTTGTTAACTCTTAACTTCGAAGCACACTTGATTTCACAGAGTCGTAGGGTATTAATAGTTGAAGCCATTGGTTTAAACCCCTATGTGATCTTTTGGTTTAAACCTCTATATGATCTATGAGTCCTCTCCACACAGTCTAGACAGGTGGACACCTCACTTCCCTTAAGGACTACTATTGATGGGAAAACTCATCAAATTACCCATTTTTAATAGGTCTGATTAATTAGGAAAGTCTTCCTTTTAGTGAGCTGGAATCTACTATCTTATGTTTAACTTTCACCTTTTGTTCCTTTTCTGCCCACTGGAGTTCAACAGCATGCATCTCATCCTTCTTTAAATAACTCTTTAATTATTTCAAAACCAATATAATATTTTCCCCTTAATATTTCTTTTTCCTGGTTTCTTCAGCCTCTTATAATTTCTAAACCTTTCTTGCCTTTTTCTGGTTTGTCATCACAGTACTCAATATGTGGTTTGACCTGAGTGGAATATCTTATTTTGGACACAGTGGTACTTAATACAGGTTAGTCTAGGGTTCTTTGGGTTTTAGGTTTTTGGCTTTCATGTCATCCTCAGATCTTCTGTTTCCGTTCCTTGTATAGATCAATTAACATGTCTTGCTGATTCTAACTAATCAGGAATGATCTGCCTCTGGCTTCCTTCAAGTCTCAAATTCCACCTTCTGAAAGGGGCTTTTCCTAGTGCCCCTGTATGTATCTTGTGTATACATAGTCATTTGCATGTTGTCTCCCTTATTAGAATGTGAGCTCTTTGAGGGTAAGGATTGCTTTCCTTTGTGAGCATTTAATCAGTGCTTATGGACATCATAATATTCCCTCTCCATTACCTTTCCACTTGTATGAATACCATTCTAGTATCTTTACTTCATACCTCAGCTATTGCAATAGCCCCTAATTGGTTTCCTGATTTCTATTCCAATCCATCATTAACATAGTCACCAAAAATAATATTCCCAAAGCATAAGTCTAACCATGTCACTCTTTTACTTACCACATTCCAGTGACTACCTATTACCCTTTAGATTCAATATAAACATCTCTGTATGGCATTCAAAACTCCTTAGGTTCTTTCCTAACTTTCCAGGGTTCTTATACATTATCCCTCTCCACAAACTCTCTGGTTCAGCCAGAATGGCCCGCCTGCTGCTCCTCAAACAATATTGCATTTTCCATTTCCATGCCTTTACAATGCTTATCCTTATGCCTGGAATTCTCTCCTTCTTCACCTTTGCCTCTTGGAATCAGTGGTTTCTTCTGTTACTCAACTCAAGTGCCATCTTCTACATGAACCCTTTCCTGATCCACTTGTTGCTAGTGCTCTCCCTTCTGAAGCTGTCTTGTATTCATTATGTGTGTGTGTGTGTGTGTGTGTGTGTGTGTGTGTGTGTGTGTGTGGACATGCTCTCTTCTGTCTCTATTACAGACAATGGCTATCTCATTTATAACCCTAAGGCCAGTACCTGGTACATGGAATACTTGGTGATTGATTGATTGATGCACTCTGTGCTCTAACCAAACTGTATTTTACTTGCTACTTCCTGAACTGTAGGTATTTCTTCTGTTTCCCATGCTTGGAATGTATTTTCACCTCTGCCTATGAGAATCCCTAACTTCTTTCCAAGAGTCAGCTCATGTGCTAACCTCTGTAGAAAGCCTTTTCAAATCTCTGTAGTTAATGTTCTTTCCCTTCTCAAATAATCATGTATCAATTTAACTGTATTTTCTCCCCCACCTCCTGGTAGGGGAGTAGTAAGTAGTAAATCCTTTGTATCCTCTGGTCCTTGAACAGTGCCTTCCAGTTAGCAGGTGCAAATAATAAATGCTTGTTAAATTGAAAGAGGCTATTTAAACTGAGCTTTGAGTGATGGGAAGGATTTTGATAGATAAAGATGGTAAGAGGATATTCTAAATGGAAAGGATAGCAAAAGCAAGGACTTTGGAGGTAGGAAAACTCAGAGCATGTTAATAGAAAAGTTACCATCCCAGTTATATTGGAATGTAAAGTTATGTATAGGGGAGTAATCAGAGGTATATGAAGGTTAGAGCATGAGGGCTTTGAATACCAAGGCCTAGAACAGGATACTTTAGTATTTCAGTGGTTTGAGTTTCTCTGACACTTAGTGTCTGTATAGTCATGGAAAAGTTCTTTGAGCCTCAGTCTCCTTATCTGTAAAATGGGAATTATAATTCTTGGAATACTAACCACATAGGTTAGTAATGAAACTCCAATGAGAAAATGCATCCATAGCACTTTACAAACTGGAAAGTGCTTTGTAAATGTCCACTATTGGAGATATCTAGGTGGCCCAGAGAGAGTGGGTAGAGTGCTGGAGTCAGGGTGACCTGAGTTCGAATCCGGCCTCAGACATATACTGGATGTATGACTCTGGGCAAGTCACTAAACTTCTGTTTTAATCCACTGGAGAAGGAAATGACAAACCACTTCAATATCTTTGCTAAGAAAACCTCATGGACAGCATTGGTGTGTTATGTGGTCCCTGGGGTCGGGAAGAATCAGACACGACTGAACAATCATTGTTATTAAGTGTAAGATCCAAGACGTGACTCCAAGTTGTCCAACTCTGTGTTTGATAGTGAAAATGTGCCAGAAGATGCTTTTAATTTTAATGAAGTCGGCTATCTTCATTAACACTCTCATATCTCTGTAGTGTATTTTAAACATTTTGTATCAGAGTGCCTTGATTGTACAAAGCGGTAGCTTCTTAAGAATGCAACCAAGTGCTATAGGAAGATTTCACTAGATGGCACCAGTACTTTGGGTTACTATCGAAAGATGTAATGCTTTGTTCATTTATTCTCTTATGTTTATTAGAACCAGTGGTTTTAAATGAGGCAAGTTTTGATAGTTTCACTTGTAAATTGCTTAAGTATTTGGAGCAATTTTGATTAATGGACAGTGTTTGGAGTTGTTTAAACATTTTGTTAAAGTTTGTAGATCTTTTCTAGTTGTAGATCCTTTTATTTTATTTATTTTTAACATATTTTACTCATACAAACAAGAGAATCATTGTGAAGTAGAGGACTGAGAGCCGACCTCCGAGCCAAGATGGTGCAGGTGTACATCCCACCTTGGACACACCCTGGCTGTGAGAACTGGAGTCAGTTATTTAACTCCTTGTGTTTCAGGCAACTCTCTTAGACTACAATTTGCAGAAGAGGAGCCAATTTGTTTTGACAGAGGGAGCTTCCTCAACAGGGAGATCCCTAAAGCCACTGAGTTCATAGATCCAGCTGCCATGTCTGTCCTGTCCTTGGCTCTTCTGATTCATCCTTCATATCCCAGCTTTTGTGATATCTTGTCTCTTTTACCTTTACAACATCTCTGTTATATCAACCTTTTCCCTGGTCATGGCTCTGAATGCAGTGGATGACCTTGGCCTTTCTAAAGATCTTTGTCTTGCCACTGGACTTCGACTCTAGAAGGCCAGTCACTTTGGGGATCTCTGCCTCACTTAAATCCAGTTCATTCGAAAGTCAGGACATCATGTCGTTGGTCTTCTTCTAGAATGAAGGGCGAACAGCATTATCAACCTTTCTCCTGCTCACAGATCCTTGTCAAATCCTCTCTACCTCTTGCCTA